CAAACTGGACTCCTGCAAAACAGTCACTATCACTTCACCTCTTTTTGAGGACACACGATACTTGCTACTGCCATCTGTCACCAGCCTTCCAGGCATAGTGGTCTGACCCTCATATGTCTCTTTCTAAAGTCTTCCCAATAGTTTGGGAATCTCCCTCAAGCTACATCTTTACGAGCTTTCAAATTTAGCTTCCAGAGGACCATGAGGGCTAAAACAAATGAACAGTTTCTTGCAAAGTGTGCGCTACACTTCAAAAAATCCGCATTAATTGGACATGCCTCTACAAGAATAACCAGTACCTGAAGGCAGAATGTCTTCATAGAATCACTGCATTGGAAGTGACCTCTGGAGATAATCAAGTGCAACCCCCCTGCCAAGGCAGGTTACACAGGAACACATCCAGGCAGATTTTGAATGTCTCCAGAGAGTGATGCTTCACAACCTTTCCAGAAAGCCTGTTCCAGAGCTCTGCCACCCTCAACATGACGAAGTTGTTCCTCATGTTGAGGTGAAGTTTCTTGTGTTTTAGTTTATGGCCATTGCTCCTTGTCCTGTCACTGGGCACCACTGAAGAGTCTGGCACTACGCTCTATGTCCTCACATCTGCAGGACCATCCACTCCTTTACCTGACCATTTCTCCTTTATCTTCCTGGCAGCAAATGGATGTTCCCTCAGGTGCCCCTCAAGAGAGGCATCTGAAACTAAAACCAGACCTAGCATCCTCTCTCAAGTGACCTCTGGGATGGCTTCAAGTACCATGAGGTGACTTGCTGCTTAACAAGAGGGGTATTACTCTCAAATTAAATGGGGAAAAATTAATTCGTTGTGCTACAGACAGCCTCCTGGCATAAACTCACCTAAATGGTGACCCATCACAAATGCAGTGCCCCTGACAGTTCTAGTAAGATCAAGCCCTTACAGCCAGCAGAGGAACAGCTATGATGCAGTGTCCAAGCTGCATCCCCAGAGCCACAGTGAACAACAAATATCACAGTACAGCTTGCAGCAAGACCCTTCCTTGCAAGTTTCCATGAACATTTAATAATACATTCCACAGACCTCCTAAATCAAGTACCTTCTTACAGATATGTTCAGTCACCCATTTCCACTATCAATCACTATGACTAATCCGAGTATCAAGTTTAAAACAAGGAGGGGGGAACACCCAAATGTACCTCATAATTAAGGTTTCATTTGTATTTTCCATTTCAGGACTACTCACACCTCAACCCTGCTCCTGTCCCAAACACCCCTTAAGGCTCTGCTGCCCAGTCAGACACTTCCTTAATCACACACCTACCAGACTTCCTCCCCACACTTAACAGCATTTCCACAGTGCTTTGGTTTTCCAACTACCGCTTTCAGAAGTGTGGCTTTTAGTCAAGCCTTTGCTGAATATTAATGCCCTTTTGAAATAGTTAATGTTAAATTAATGTGAATCCAACTGGGGAGGAACAAGGAGGATATGCCTGTTTAGCAAAATACTATTCCAGACGAGCAAAGAACACTGAACAAAGATTTTTAAGAAGATCAACCCAGAAATCCTGCAACCTGAAAAAAAAGAAACACAAGGATGAGAAACTTTGTATACTGGACAACTTGTGGATGGATCACAGGCAGAGGAGACCAGGACCTTGGTAACAACATCCCAGACCCAAGTATTTGATTTCTTTCTACTGCTGTAACACTCTATGATATAACTTGAATATGCAATTTTCCACAAATTTATTATACTAAAGTGTACACTCTGAATAATGACCTGACATATCAGAAGTTATTAACATCTCCTGGCAACAAAAAAATCTCCTCAGAAAATAAGCAAGCCCAGCTAACCAGGGGGATCTTGTAAGCTAAAACCATCGCCTATCTGAAGTACTTATCACAACAAAATTCCTGCAAAGAATTCCATGGCACATGATTCCAACACAAGCTCCCACCCATAAAATGCTGGCAATAATTAAACAAATAGATGAGTGTCTACTGTTGAGTGTCTAAATTGGTCATTCTGCCTCCTGTGACCTACATCAAAATCCTCTATTAGAAATCGAGGAGTTAAACTCACATAGCTATTATGTCAGACTGGCTATGTTAGAATATTTATGTTTTAAGCAGTAATGATGTGTATTAAAATCTCAGTAGCTTCAGGCAATGAATCTGATCTTTACTGCAGCTTCCACAGCAGATTAATTATATGAATTCAGTTAGCATACACAAGGTTAAAACTTCCATAACTCCAAAACATAACCCTGGAAAGTACGTGCAGCCTCTTGATCTCCTCAAAGTACCAAGAGGACAGGACTTTCTGGGAGGACAGGACTGTTGATAGTACTGACCAAAGACATCAACCTGTAGTGCTCAGCAGCCAAGAGTCTGCCCAGGTCAGTGCTTTCCCTCTGCAGAATGTGGTACTTTGTTGTTCTCAATGTGGAAGACGCTGGATGGGTCCCTGCTCCCAAGGGTTAGGAATATGACAGACAGGGATGCTGAGCTACTCCCTGCTGTTTCTTAGAGATTATAGATTACACAGGTGCATGCACTGTTAGCAAGGTACAGGGGAGGCTTAGCCTGCCATGGGTTACCAGACCTACCCTTCAAGGCTGCTCCTAGCAGGTCTGCACTGTGTCTCAGCTATGGTTTACTTGGCTTTCTGCACCTGCTCATCCCTTATTCTCTACAAAGTAACTAACTCTGCCAAGTGTCTCATCACCACATACCTTGCCACAGTTAAACTTGATAGCAAGTCAGCTTGTTTAAGAGCATTTGGAAAGAAGACAGCTTGGCAGAGATTTGTCTCATGGGTTATTTCCCAGATTCCCCAAACCAGCGGGAAGGGGAGGAAAGCTGCTTATCTTCTTTCTGCCAGGTCTCCAAATGCAAAAGTGTCTCTCTTGCATTCCCTTGAGAAGGCTGAATCCACAGGTACTTTTCACCACTGCTGCCTCTGCCCAGCCTAGGAAATACGTATTCTACAGCCACAACAGTACTATAGCTGCCTTTAGTCAGTTTCCAAATAAAGAGAGAAAAAGCTCACCTTCTTTGTACAATGGATGGACATGTTCACTTCAAGAATTCATACTCAATTGTCATGTCAGTACAACTGAGAGGAGAAGCTTTGACCAGCTAACATTGAAAAAATATTTGGTTCTTTCCATAGACAGTGAGAGGTTTTTTCACTCCACCTTTAACAAGTAACGGATCGGCTTGCCACTCTCGAAAGCACTGTACCAATCCAACTGTTTCCATAAAACATCCCCAGAACATCTGCACCTTTGTAATACTGAAGTAATGAGTTTGACACACTCAGCTGAGTCTGCCACACTGAACAAGGTTCCTCTCCATCAACACTGCAAGCTGCCGTTTTGCAGATCAGAACAGTCAGCTTCCCCAGATAAAGCAGCTCCTTCCTGGAAATGGAAGACAGAGCTGCCTTATCTCAGGAAAGTGGCAAAGTTCTCACCTTGAAAGCTTTGCCCCTTGATTGGCATGGAACAACCAAGGTCATGGAACTTTTAATCAGACGCCTGCATAATTACTAAATCGTTATTAATTATATCAGAGAGCCGAGACCTCAGAGGAAAGGCAAACAAAGAGCCCACGGAACCCTCCTCTGTTGTTGGAAAAAAATTGGTAATTAGAAGTCATGAGTGCACCAAAGAGTGAGGGAAAAGCATCACAGTCACTGTTGAGGACTCAGGAGTGACTTGCATACAAAACAGCAGGCTTGTCTGCCTGGGGAAATTACAGGGCACCGAGTTACTAAACAGTGAGAAGGAGAAAACAAAGAAAAAGACAGAGAAAGAACCACTCCTCTTTTATCAACAGCTTTATTTACCCCACAGAGAAGGACAGCACTACCAACCAGTCCCGAGTTTGAGATGTGTCTTTCACATGTTTCTGGCAGCTCTAAAAAGCCTCCTACCACCCTTATATCATGGAGGGTTCCCATTCTGAGAAGTGCACAAAAGAATGAGACTTTGTGTTCAACTTAATATAGCCTACAAACAGCCCTTGCCCAGGAGTGCCCTTGCCCAAGCAGAGCCTTCATTTTCCTCAATGACCTGAGGTCAGCCTTAGTGACTACCCTTTCCCCAGAGGCTGCCCTTCAAAATAGCACTATAAAAAAACCCCAAAACAAAAAAAAACCACTTCGATCTGTTCTTAGAAAAATAAAAAAATAAACAATGCCATGGTCCTGCTCATACCATAATAAATCCAACCAGGTAGTCATGATTCCCACTGAAACCACAGCAAGTGCTTTTGCTCATCAGGCTGACAAGATAAATGCTAATCTATTTCTATACCACTGATACAACATGCTATCTCAGGGCATCAAAGATGGCATCAGCTGAAAAAAGGCACCATGCTATCTACCATCATTTGCAGGCAAAACCAAGAATCTCTCTGATCTACTATGTAAGTAGTCTGATAAATCCAATCCTAAAGATGACCATATGCAAGAGGTAGCAAGTGCAGGTTGAATCCCTGAAGAGATCAGTTTAGATGGATTATGAAACTGTGGCATGAAGAACAGACACTGATGCACTCAAGCCCTCCCAACATGCAAAAAGAGAAGTGCAAACCACCAGAAAGCCAAAGAGATCAGAAGAGACATTTTCTGCTACACTGCTTCAAGTACAATGACTCAAAAAGACATATCTTTGAGATACTCTAAATAAAAAAGTCTCCCATTTCAAACATGAGCAAGAAGGAACAAAAGATAACTGCTGCAGAAACAGTAATGCAATTTGTGGGAGTCTGCCACTGAATAAGAAATTAATAACAACCAACCTCTGGCTAACTGCCGCCATTTCATTATGCTTAAGTTTGACAGACCCAAATCTAATAAACTCTTACTGAAGTACATATGGTCCTTTTTCATCCCTTCTCTGAGCTTCCATTGCTTGCCAATGCAATGCCCTTTCACTGTTGCAACATTACCACAGCCCCATTTCATATTGCTGAATGCTAAGTCCTGAATCCCCATGTAACAGCACCATACCTGTTGAAGATATCACCCGACACCTTTTGCAGATACTGAAGTGCATCTGCCACCTGCTGAACAGCCTCCTCCCTGCGTAAATCCGGTTGGATCAGGGGGACTGAGTACGTTTGCCCTTCCAAAAAGTGCTTCTGGGCTACTGAAGTCATTGCACCTAAAAGAAAGGACAAATAGGTCATTGCAGTAAACACACTTCCATGTTGTCACAGCTTTTATTCAGGGACTTCCATTCTTTGCTTACCTAATTATTTTAGGGAAGCATTTGCAATGGAACTGGTGACCTAAGGAGAGAGGAGGCACAAGTAGTAAGTTTGACATATGTTTTTTTTTAATAAATCCAAGTGAGGTGGGAGTCTCTTGCTTATCTGAATGCTCTTGGGAACCAGAATTTTATTTTTAGCATGTCACTTAACAGATCTCTGCTCAGTACTGTGCTGAAAACAAAGACCACACTCTGGAGGAGAGTCAGTTCAGGGTGGTGATAAGACTCCTCAGTCGCCTCCTCCCATCCTCATAGTCCAGATGGATGTATTTCAGGTCATTCAATCCTATTAGCAAAATGCAGTATTTCATCTTACACTTCTGCTCCAAGAAACACAACTATACCTCCCTTCCAAAAACAGCAGCTATGAAATTATAGGGCATGCATGTGCACACATGCCCTTGCTCCAAGTAGGTTAATGAGAATTCTTCCATTCTGAGACTCCCAAGAGCTGCTCATTGCTTCTGGTGACTGTTTTTTTCCTTCATAACTACCTTGAAAAAAAACCTTTATATTTTAGGATCCTTTCATATATAAAACCTAAACAGTCATTGAAATCTTTCAGTAATGTTCAACACATGCACCAGAGCAGTATGTATGCTCCTGGATGCAGCTAAGCCAATACCACTGCTCTGCAGTTCAGCCAGGAGAAGACTGTGCATCACCCATGCTTCCATCCTGCCAACTTCCCACACCTCTCCCTCAGCAATTCCAAAAAGTCTGCCTCTCCTGTTTTTGCTCACACAAACAAAACAATTCCCGGGACAGGAGCTGGGTATAGGGCAGAAATGCATTTCTCTGAGCACATTAGAAATTGTAACCTCACAAATACACTACTGTTAGGACAGCCTGATTAAGGAACAGAGAAGTATCCATTCAGTTTTCTAATCCAAACACTGCTAGGCCTACAAAACTACCTTCAAAGTTGCTTTCTCTGTGTGTCTTGCTCATTCAGACAGTAAAAAACTTGCAGCCTATAGCCTTTCATTACAGGGTTTCATCACACAGAGTGCTGTACATCTGTAAAAAAAAAATAAATTCATTAAGCTGAAGAGAAGCAAAACAAAGGAGGATCAAAATGTAAGGTATCTGAAACAGAGAGATATCTCAGAACACATCACATTCCCTCTCTGGTACTTGGTGGTCTGGAGGAGCTACTCCAGAGAGCACTGCTGTGTGCAAACTGTATTTCAGCATGCACAACAGAGCAGGCTGAGAATAACATAGAAACACAGTGTGTACTGGAGAAATTCACAAAACAAGAGACTGAAGATTCAATTCCAGCATAAACCAACAGTTTAATAGGTGAAAATTAGAGGGGTCTTCATGCATTCTTTAAATTCCCCACCTTGCTTCACCAAATTAAAAGATATTAGATTAGACTTGCCTGTAAGCATGTTGTACATTTAACACCATTCACATTTCCTGAATTAGTCCTTTCTGGTCCTACTACAGCAGCTTAGGAAAGACCTTCTGTAAATGTGATGCAGCTGTTGTTTTAGGTGTTCAGAATTTTGGGGGGGTTTGAGGTTCATTTCTTTTTGGGGTTGTACAGTAGTGCATAACAATGAATCATATGAGAGGTAAAAGGAGGAGGGAACCAAGGAGCCTGTCTGTGGATAACTAATTTGCAATATGAAGCTCAGCTATCAGAGGACCTGGCTCTGCTGCAGGAAGCCTAGACTTACTCTGTTTCACTTCATGCATCACTGGCAGTCAGATTGCACCCACATTCTTCAGCAGCAATGTTTGCACACTGATTAGTCTTCTTGACTGGGCCTATTCATCCGACAGGAAATTATTATTTAGACTTGTAAAGCATACAAGCTAATCTGAGAGGAGCACAGCTAATTTGGAGATGGCATTTTTTGATCTGCTGACCACAACCAAGCTTGAAGCCTTTTGCTTTCAAATCTCCTATTTGACTGACAATGCAGAACAAAAGCAAACAGCTAACACAGCAAGTGTGCAGTTACGAGATACTTTGGCTTCAGCAGCAACGTGAGTTTATGATCCTCCCTGCCACTGGTCACAACTCTTCTGTTGCATCAGTGCTGCTGATGTTTGGGATTCCTATTTTTAACTCAGATCAGTTCAATGACCCAATTTACAGCAGACAGATAAAGAGTTGTAATTGCCCAGACATGAAGCAGAGTGGGAATAAGGGCAAAAAGGCGACTTCTGAAACCTGCTTCACTATCAAAACCATTACCGTGTAATGGTAATCCTGCCCTGCAGGGCGAGAAGGTCAAGCTTTTCACCTCTTAGGGCCAGATGAGGTTATACAGCCACACTACGATTTCCCAGACTTTCACCAATCCTAATTCTCTTGGAGACCTTTCTAAAGCAAAGCTCAGTTCAGCTGCTGACAGATGCTCACACTCAGAAGCAGCACTGCCCTAACTACTACCAAACTTGTTTCCTTCCCTGCAGTCAGAATCTACAGACTGTCCTTTAGGTCCCACTGCTCCTTGCAAAGAGAGGAGCAAGAAGTAGTGGGGCGAAGCAGAAAAAGCCCTGGGTGCTCCTGCTCACACTGTCACAGTTCAGCTGTCAGTAAACTTCAGTTTCATAGGCTGTCAACACAGACTCTCACACAAGCTCCAGATGCTCACCTTTCTTAAAAAGAAAGGTGGCAGATTCTGTGGGAACTGCTGCCAAAGTTAGATACAAGAGACAATTCTTTCTGTGCAAGATAACAAATGAGGGATTCATAGCAAGAAAGAGGGAAAACCAGCAACAGCCTTCTGAATGACCAGACAGGCTAAATCCCATGCTATAGCTGCTATATATTACCTCTTGCGACCAAGCTAATTGGAGAAACAAGTCAGTTTTCTAAACACTTAGAGGCCTGACCATAGGCTTAGAATAAAAGCAGAATTGCCTCCCGTAACAGGGACTGCAGGAACAAGGGAGATTTTAATAAGGACAAAAGTCAAGAAGGAAAGCAAAGCCTGAATGGCACTCCACAAGACTGATTCTTCCTTTATCTCAACCTCCAGTGTACTGAGAAGGAAGCAGCATATTTCCTTGCTATACTTCATTATGATAATTAGTTATTACAAGTGCCATATATTAGAAATATCTCAACTTTTCCACCCTGCCCAATGGATGACAAGCTTTCATGTTACATACAGACCAAAGGTGCAAATAAACTGTTCATATTGTATACATGGAAGTGATTTCCAGCAAAGCAACAAACTCTTCCAGTAACACTCTAGAATCTTAAAGAAGAAGCTGGTGTGTTTCAGCAGAAAGTACGGCATCCTGGAATTAGGATGGCTGACATGAAATACTCTGATGCTACAGTGAGAAATGGGCACATAAAACCCCAAAGCAAGTATGATTCAGAAAAGCAGATGTCAGATCACCCAAGAGATTTAATCATCAGTGGTGTGCCACCTGTGGGTCACACAAGGCAGAAGAAATAGCAACACTGCGCTTTTTTTGTGATCAAGGAGGCTCTAGAAAAGAACTGCAGCATCTGGGGGCTCCAGCCACTCTTTACTCAATTATTTTTTTCTATGTCAACTTTCATGATCAAGACAAATGTGCTCTGGTGTTATATAATAACCTCATTTGCCTTATTAAATTGCAAACAAAGAAAAAAAGGATGCTTTCTCACTGCACCACCTGCTTATGAGTGCTATATCCCGATTTGGAAGGTCTGACTACAGCTAGCAACTGCTCAGATTTGCACTTTTGCCTTAAGCTGTCTATGCCTTTAACCTCAAGCAAGCTGGTACAAAACTCATCAGGGATGGTGACTATCCTTCTGTGCCCAAAGCTGCTCTCCTCTTCTCAGTTCCAGCATTCACGCTAGCAAAATCAGCAAACCAACAGCAGTGGGAAATGCAGCCCCCATCAGGCTGTCTTACCTTTCCAAAAGCCTTTACACCAGGAAAGATACAAGCTGAGCACCCCAGGGTTTTCAGGTATTTGGAACCAGCAACTGGTCATACTGATCAATCACCACAGCCAAATATAATGCTCTGATGGCTATGTAGAGATTTGTGGTTCTGAACCCAGAAAAGTAAGTATACAATTCACTGCTCTGGATCAGTTAGAGGAACACTCCACCCACTTGGCTCACCTCTTTGGCAACCCTGGACTGAAGAATAAAACTCCTTATGTCAAGGCTAAACCCAAAAGAACTTGCTACAGAGCAAAGTCTATAAAAGAAGCAACACTTCTGTAAGTTCGTTAGAAAATACTGGTCTATGGAGGATCAATCACTGAGATTATCTACAAACAGAACTCCCCACAACCTTAAAATACCTTCACTTTTCAAGGGAATGTAAACAAAGGCAACATTAAGAAAATAATTTGGCTGCCCTCAACACAGACAGAGACTACTTACCAGGTGCCTGCTTTGCTCTGAAAATAAAGGGAGAATGAAGCAAGCCACCAATGATACTTGCTTCCTTAACATGCTTGAAAGGATTAAAAAAAGAGGGCTCCGGGGACAAAAGTGCTTAAATACTTCGAAAAAAATCAGCGAGTATTCTTCAAAGATCAAGGGCTGCTCCAGCAATTACTGTGCTGCTGCTGCTGCTACTGTCAGTACACTGGAAAGGCAGCATGAGCTAAAGGCCTTGAATTCCCACATACAATAACATGTCCAAGAAGTGATAGGCTATTTCCAGCCCTTGTTGGGCTCTAATAAAAGATCAATGTCTTGTAGCCACCTGTGAGGACAGAGATACCAGGAATATGCAATAGCAGGTAAGTCTGCATAGCCCTCACCACATACCACTGTAAGAATACCACAAGCATGGCTCCACAGTGGGAACAGACCAAATCACAAATGAACTACAGGTTAAACGCTCTCGAAGTAGAGGTAGGCCTTGGGCATAGCTTATCACAAGGTGCTGTCTCTTCTGATAAAGGAATGTCACATCTATAATTTGATTCACAGTAAGAAGTCATTCCAAATTCCTCACTGACAGTAATTTCTTACACATAATACTTTCTACCATGTTTACCTGGACAAATGTTGTCCTATCCAGGCTGACGATACCAGACCTCTGTTATTCTCACTTTCCTCTGCTCCAATCAGCACATTGCTCTCAATAACTAAACACAGCTTCTAGAGCTCAGAAAGCTCACAGCTGCTACAATGTCTGTCTCATCACAAAATTCTACTATTGTACACTTCACTACAGAATTCTCTAGTACCATACTTAATATACTGCTACATCATCCTTATTCTCTTACTTTCTGTGCAGGCTTCCCACAGAATTTCAGCTAATGAGCAAATCTGGGGGCATATTCCAGTCATACCTTGCTTGTACCAGAAGCTTACCTAGAAGCCATTCCAACAAAATATCAAAATGAACTCCTCCAAGGAATAAATAAAGATAATTATATCACCCTGCTCTCCACAGACACACAAAGCACACTCCTGTGGGTTTACCAGCTGCAAAGCCAGGGGACTGTATTTAAGAGAGAGATTTAAAGTGCTAGAAAACAAAACATATCATTGCATATGCTCCTCCTGTTAAGTGACACAATAAGGCAGTGTGTACACATGCATTCACTCAGGCATAGACATGCAACTGAAATGAAAGCTACAAGTTCCTTACATGCTGATGGTAAATGGCAGCACAAGAGCCCTGAATGCAAGTCTTGTTTTATTGTGCAGCCAGTGATTGTTCTGCTCAGTGCAGACATTCACTGGAGGGGTTGAAATTTAGTCCTCCAGCAGAGCACATAGTAGGTAACTATCCTGGGTAGGAGAGCAGGATTTCCAGCAGAAACAAGAGGTTCACAGTCCCTGTGCTAAGCCAACTTTACCTTTTTTAGGGGGGCAGCAGGGGAAGAGAGGAGGAAAGAAGCACTTTGATAAGTTAAGAGGATGAAAAGTCTATTTATATTTTTTAATTAACCACGTTCTACAGTGTTATTAAGCAGCAATCAAAGATGCAGATGGTACTGATTTGATTGGCAAAAGGTGCACTCTGCTGAATATTAAGGAACTCTGCCCCTATAAATAGGTCTAATCACCATCTGAAGGCTGGAAGGCAATGATGAAAGAAAGCATTAATAAGACCATAATTAGGCCCCATAGCAGGCTGCACTCTACCAAGGTGCTCATGTTACTAGACATCTCGTAGCACCCTCAAACCCCACTGTAGACATTACTGTTTTGGGTCTCAAGACCTCTAGTAGCTCTTTTAGACAAAGCTATGAAGCGTGGGCTTTCTCCATTTTTGGAGGGCCTGGCATCAGTTAGGACTTTACTTTCCAGTACCATTCCTGAAGCAAAAGATCTCTCCATTCCAGCTGTCCCACCCTGCCCACTCTCCATGAGCGAATTAAACCAGGCAGCTGGAGCTTCCCAGGCACAGAGACTGGCAAGGGGTGCAGGAAAGTGAGAAGTTTCAGAAGCTGTCAGTCTCCCTCCCCCTCAGAGCAGGGTAGTACATCACAGCCATACCTACATCACAAAGCTAAACTAGACACTTCTGTAAAAGCCATTTCTGCTCCTCTGCTCCATCTTTTGGAAGAGATACTTACTCAACCTTGTACTTTCAGCCTGTCCTTACACTACACAGTTACCTCAGAACAACCCCCACAAAAAAAGTCCATGTAGAAATGAACCCTGCTACATGCCTTCCACAAGTTACTCATTGACAGGGGACTGCCTGAACAACCAAGATGTTTTTAAAAGGAGTAGCCTCCCACAATTACACCATGGCCCTGCAGCAACAGCACAGCATTGAGGAACCTGATCTGGTACTCAGCAGGACTCAGGGGCTCACACTGCATTTCACACACTGAACAACCTGGCCTTGTGGGCTGATATTCTGCTTGGAAATGGCAGGAGGGAATTCCATCACTGAAGCAGTCCCATCTCATCTGTCCCAGCAGCAGCTGCAGGAAAAGCAAAAGCTTTTTCTTCTGCACTGGTATGCAGCTGATTAACCAGTGATATAATCCCCTAAATTCTCCGTATCCAAATGGTGTAGAATTGCTGGCAGTTGCCACATACACAGTAGCTCACACATCCAGGTACCAAAAGAACATTGTGTTGCACCACAACATCAGCTACAGTGCTGGTTGCCTATGGTAGCTCAACCTATGTACTACTGAGAACTGTCTAGTTCAACATACCTTGGGATCTGCATGAAAGGTACCCCAGATCCAGTCAATTTCATGTTTTGCTTAATCAACTGACGACTAATGTTGTATTAGAAAAAGGTATTAAGGTAATGCAATGAAGACATTCACTTTTGGAAACAGCAAGAGAGACTGGTAGGAAAATTGCATCTAAAATACCAATTCTTCCCCCCAGTTAATTCCCTAAGTGGCAGAGGGAACACAATAAATAGCAGTAAGAGTGACTTACTGACAGTTTCTGTAAACTGGGTGTCCCATGGAAGCATGCTTCCTGGGCCACGGGTTGTATCAGACACAAAAAAAACACCCATTGCTACTTACATGTTTGTTCTATCCTGCTGTTTCTGGAATAAAAGGCTATCTCTAAGTATCTAACAAAGGAAAAGCACTGTCAACAATCTACTTCTGAAAGCAGGAGTCCTCTATTTAAGGCAGCCCCTTCTCAAGAAGCCAGGTACTGCTAAAACCTTTGTCTCAGACATTGTTTTGAAATAAACAATAATTATTGCAGCTACTAAAGACAGATGAGAATATGACTATGAGAATATGACATTAAGGCAAAGACATTATTGACAAGTAACTAAATACATATGAACTGGAGGATTTGTTTTCCCACCAGCAGCATTGTCTCTTGGATCAAACACATCAACAGACTTGGTGATTATTTTCAAATGAGCCCTAAAAATGACTCAGAGCCACTTAGATTTGTTGGTTTGTCACAAACTACACTGCCCTATTCCACTCAGACTAAATAGAAAGAATCAAGATCTGAGATCTCAGAGCCCAGCTTTACAACAGCATATGCAACTCCCTGGCAAACTGCAAAATACCTGACATTTCAAGATGCATCTTGTAAAATCCAATGTCGTCAACTCTCCAGAAGACAGAATGCTACTGCATTAAATTATTTTTTAAAGAGAATCCAAAGAGACTTAAAAGAATTTAGAGGTGCACTTCAATCCTCTCTGCTCCACAAGCTAAGATGGCCTCTAAGCCACCCCTGATTTGAAGACAGTCTTCCCTCTCAACACAGAGCTCAGCTTTGTGAGATAAGACAGCAGCCCTCCCTGCCATGAGGCACTAAGCTGCAGGCTGCATCACCTTGTTGAGAAAGCCCTGTCCTCTAAGCACAGGCCAAAACTGACTTTCTTCAGCTGGATAAATACAGCTCATTTTGACAGGCAGATGTTGGTATCTAAAGTTAATCAGATAACCCTCTGCAACTGTCACCTGTGGCTCTCATCATTAATTGAGACAATCAGGTGCTCTAATGAACAATCGATCTGATTCTAAGATGGCCACCTGCAACTGACCAAAAGCACTGCACTAATTAACTGCCTGCTTTCCCTTCCCCTCATTATTTATTATGAAAGAAGCCTAAGCAAATAGCTCAGCTACACCCAAACATCCAAGACACAGCTCTTTGTTCAATTGCTTAAATGGGGGTGTTTTGAATTTGTATGCCTAAAGTACACAGAAGCCACAAGCTATGCCAAAAGTCTGTTGGAGGGCCATTTCCCTGCAGTGAGTTCTCTTAAATACTAGAGTTCCAAAAGCAGGCTAGCTGAAATGCTGCTGCAGAGCCTCCTGTAGAATGTTTGGCTCAGAAAAATGAGGAGCTGCTCAATCTTATAATCTTACCACAACAACAAATACATAATTCAAAAAACACAGCGCCTTGCTAAAAAAAAAAAAAAAAAACACAAAAAACCAAAACACACACACACAAAAAAACAAAACAAAAACCCAAACAAAAAATACCACCAAACAAAACCACCCCCAAACAAGCAAAAAGATCCAGTTGTTTTTTCTAATTCTCTGGTGCAAAGTCAGCTTCAGTCTCTGAAGAGTGACCTTAGCTGCAGATCTGACCACTGACACATTTCACTGCTACAAACCTTAACTAACAGTGTCCTGTTTTTCACATCCACATTCAGTACCCTTTGCTCCAAAGTCCTGGAGTTGTATAGCTCCCATATCCCTCTCCCAGTGTTACAACAGATGATACTTAATGAAGGCAGCAACCAAATCAAACTGGCAACCAAAGCAATTCCTCTCTGTCTTATACACTGAAAAGCAACGGGAATGCTTACATTTCTGCAAGATGACATGAGGGAAACTCACTAACAGGGTCTTCAAGCCCACTCACATTTGCTAGAAGGAACAGCCCTACAGTGTGGCCTGGATGACAGGAGCTGACAAAAAGCTGGGTCAAATGAATGACACCTTGGGAATCAATAACCCACTAAAGAAACTGCTGGATGGGCTATTTTCTGTCAAAGGTTATCTTGTGAAGGGGTCTAAGCAGAGCTGGTTAGCTACAGAAATTGCTTTTTGAGTGACAGAAATGATTCTCTTTAAGCTCATACACCATTGCCATGGGAAACATTACAATTTCAGACATAATCCTCTTCTTCCTCTGTATACCACCTTTAATCTAAAATCTACTTATAAATCTCTCTATATATATTTATAAATCTTATAATATATAAATCTATATACTTATAAATCTGCCCTGCTTTCAGGCTTATCTCAGTACTATTTTCCCCCAGCCCTCAATTTCTACTCTCTTTACTCCTCAGACTTGTGTGCAGTGACTGCAGTTACCTGGTATGACCAGAACCCAGACTGCGGAGTACTTCCCAGAGCCTCTGCTGTCGGTTTTCTTGCCAATGAACTCCTGAGTTGAGAGAAGAGAAAACAGCACTCTATCTTAAGGAATGAAGATAAACTCATACTATAAAATATAAAAAATCAGTTTAAATATCCAGAGTGATAGAAGAAGGGCAGATGCTAAGACTACCAGCCTGTTCTGCTCTGGGACTGCCTCAGGCATTTTTCTGCCTGAGATTTCTTTACAGTTGCATCTGTTCCTCCCACAGCAAAGCATCCCAGAAGTACAGAGGTATATCAGGCAGTCTTTACATCCCAGCTTTACTCCTTGAGACAAGACAAACATAACCAAGTATCAGGAGAACTTATCAGCCCTTAGCTAACTTGGTTAAAGAAAGTCCAAGTGAGGGGCAGTTGACTGGAGGACCTCTGATACCCTAGACAACTGAAAAGCAAAAAGGCTCTACAAGGACATGTCAAAGTCATTTTGCTTCCAGCTGTTGCCTCTAGCAAAAGCAGCACTATCCGCTCCACTTCCTTTCACTGCTCAAGGGAGGTTCTGTATTTCAGAGAACTGGCAAGAAACAGGAACAGGTTCAGCCTCTCCCTCATCTACTCCAGGATAGGTCAATCTGATTGCAAATCACTGCCAGCAACACCTGCTGCACAACCTAAATGAAATAAATAGGTCACCTCAAGCAAACTGAGCTGACATTTGCCTGAATCACATGAAATGCCACCACCACAGCTGGCACTATCCCACCTCTTTGCTGGAAGCTGCGCTGTTGAAGCGGAGTCAAGAACTGGCCTAATCTCTCAGGGATGAAAAAGGCCTTTGGGAAAATCCAGATGTTGTCCAACTACTCCATTTGAGCTACACCATTTGAAAATAAATAAATAAAAGGAGAGGGGGGAAGCCTCACAACAGGACTTCTCTTGATTACTAAAAGACTGATGATGATTAATGCTGGATGCAAATTCACTGGCATTAACAGCCTTTTGTCATGTGTACAGATAGGTCTATGAGCCTTGTCGTCTTTTTACTGTTGTCTTACTCATTATTTTGAACATAGGAAAAAAAAAACAACCAACAACAACAAAAAAAAAACCTCACACTGAAAGCATTTATCACAACAGCATTTGGGCTCCCTTGCAAACACTGATGTGCTTTTACTTGGAGAATCGTTACACCACCACAGCTACTGGCTCAGAAGTGTGAGGAACATGCCTTTGAGTAACTTAAAAGGCAATTCATATCAAAACCAATTTGTCAGTACTCCAGGTAGCAAACTGTGTTGACGCACTGATGGACTAGAAACTAAGCTTTTTGTAATCTGTGACGTTCTTTGAATTTGTTAACAGTAACCAATCGTTACTTGGAACAGTAAAAGGGCCACTAGTTCAAGGCCAGGCTGGACAGGGCTTTGAACAACCTGGTCTAATGTGAGGTGTCCCTGCCCATGGCAGGGGGGTTGGAACTGGATGATCTTCAAGGTCCCTGCTAACCCAAACCATTCCATGATTTTGCGAAACTCCGAATGAGGGCCACAACTCTGTTATAAACCGTTAACTTTCTGAGGAAAAGTATGTAACCCACACACCAGAGTCCTCTAAACTCCTATCTTGGACACCTTTTCCTCATGTTTGTGACTCCCTTCAGGCTGCAGCACCCAGCTGTCCATCCCTTCAGGGTACCTAACCTACATGTAGGGAGGGCATTGCCCTTCTCAATACCCAAAGCGTAACGTTAAGTACGAGCGTCCCACACACCACCGCGAAATTGAGACTCCTATACTCCATGCTCGCCTGACGGGTTTTCGAACCAATTTCACAGCTCAGCACTGAAGCACTGAGTAGCAAGTGTAACAAAAGGCTTTCCAAACCAGCCGTCCCACCCAAGCAGGTCCTGCCTGCCGCTCGCATCGCATTAGCCAGACCTCACGGGGTCCCCAGCAAACGGAGCTTATAGCCACCAGAAGCGTCTCACCGGGGGCTGACGGGCCGCAGAACCCTCGAATAGCCCCCCACAGGGCCCTGCCACCGCGCCGGCGGGAAGGCACCTCCCCGAGCGCCGCCGGGTCCAGCCAAAGCTGCCCCGCTCCGCCAGCACCCTGGCCTCCCGCTGTCCCCGCGGGGCTGGCCAGCCCGCACCGAGCCGGGGCCGGGCGCACACCGGCGGAGAGCGGATAGAAGAGCGCGGAGGGAGGCAGAGAGGCCCGGCCCCGCCTAGCGCGCACTCCCAGACACGCGCGCCCCTCACCTGTCGCCAGCCAACCACACCCTGCCGCCGAGCAGGAAGCGGGCCTCGCACCGCTTCCGCCCTTAGTTCAACGTCACTTCCGCCCAATTAGGGCGTTCCTTGAATGCTAAAGCAAGTTTAGCTCCCCCCCCGGTGAGGGGCGGAGCTGCGCGTGCGCGCTTTTGAGAGCGGGGCGCCATGCCTGAGGCGCCCCCCGGCGGCGGGGCGGCCATCTTGTGAGGCAGGAGCCGCCTGCCCGCTGCGTTGGCGGGGCACTGTGGTAAATGGCCTTGAACTGTGTGCCCTGCCTGAGCCCCTGCTGGCACTGCCGCCCTCCTTAGAGTTAGAGAATCATCTGGGTTTACTGTTACCCCAGGGCTGCCAAGTCCACCACTAAACCATGTCACTGACTGCTTCATCTACACTGTTTCTGAACACCCCCAGGGACGATGATTCCAGCACTGCCCTGGGCAGCCTGCGCCAATGCCTGAGCACCTCTCTGTGAAGAACTTGTTCCCAATATCCACTCTAAACTACCCCTGGTGCAGCCTGAGGCTGTTTCCTCTTGCCCTGTCACTTATGGGGAAGAAGAGACCATTGCCCACCTCTCTCCATCCTCCTTTTAGGTAGTTGAAGAGAGTGTTAAGGTCCCCCCTGAGCCTCCTCCACACCAAACACCCCACTTCCCTCAGCCGCTTCTCATCACACTTGTGTTACAGACCCTTCACCAGCTCCACTGCCCTTCTCTGGACCCGCTCCAGCACCTCAATCTCTGTGAGAGGCCCAGAACTGAACACAGGATTCGAGGTGCAGCCTCACCAGTGCCCAGTATAGGAGGACAATCACATCCCTGGCCCTGCTGGCCACACTATTTCTTATGCAGGCCAGGATGCCGTTGGCCTTCTTGGCTGCCTGGGCCCAAGCTGCTCATGTTCAGCTCTGTCAGTCAGCACCCCTAGGTCCTTTTCCACCAAGCAGCTTTCCAGACACTCTTGCCCAAGCCTGGAGCATTGCATGGGGCTGTTGTGGCCCAGCCTTTGTGCTGGCCTGAGTGGCAGGGAGTGGGCAGGAGGATACAGTCATCTGCCTGCCCCACAACAGGGCACAGGCAGCACAGGGACCCCACTGAGGCTCCTCAGAGCACTGCTGGTTGCCTTGGTGAGGAAGCAATGTCACTCCAGCATGCCTCCACAAAGGGGCCCTCACCAGGGCTCCTGGTTCTTCGAGCAGGACCCCACTGCAAAGAGAACGTGATGCTGGCACAGCACTCATTCTGGTCCCTGCCACGTGCTGCAGAGTCATGGATTTAGGGAAAACCCCACAGATGTTTTTTAGTTGCCACATTCAGCCCTGCTTCGGCACCTGGCTGCTTTTCTGCTGCCATGTACAGAGCATGGCAAGCAAAAGGGGAATCTCTGACTCATACACTTGTTTTCTCTCCAGTGCTCATGTTTAGAGTTGGGCAATTTAAAAATTGAAGTTGTAAAATAGTGGATATTTTTAAGTACACTCTACTTGTTTGTTCTTGTGTCGTTTTTATACTCTCCTTCATGCACGCATTCAGGCAACCAGGTTCTTCCAGCACAAATGCTTATGAAAAGTGAATTTGAAGAGTGCATCTGTAAATACAAAAATCCACATTTTAAAAAGTTACGTGCTACACATGGTGGGGTATTTGCATGCCCATCCATTTCAGGATCAGAAACAATTTCTCAAGATTTAGGTAAACAGTTACAACTTAACACTATTTGAATAGCAAATACCAGTTTTTGAATGCACACAGGGAACATTTGTAATTGACATGTAGCATTAAAAACAGTACACAAGGAAAACAATGAGGCAAGCCTCTTCAAGCAGTGAGTGCACTTGAACACATCAGGACCCACTCATGCATATTCAATTAGGGGGAAGAAAGGTAAATCCATTACAGAAATTGCCTGTGCAGATTCTTTGCTTGGCTCTACTTCTCTGCAGTGGGAAGCAGAGGTGGGTGATGAGAAGCTCAACATGACCCAGCAGTGTGCGCTCACAGCCCAGAAACCAACCATGTGCTGGGCTGCATCAAAAGGAGCATGAGCAGCAGGTCAAGGGAGGTGATCCTGCCCCTCTACTCTGCTCTCTTGAGACCCCATCTGCAATATTGTGTTCAGCTCTTGGGGCCCCCAACACAAGAGGGACATGGACCTGCTAAAGCAAGTCCAGAGGAGGCCACAAAGATGCTCAGAGGACTGGAGCACCTCTCTTATGGAGACACACTGAGAGTTGGGCTTGTTCAGCCTGGAGAAGGGAAGGCTTTGGGGAGACATTTGAGCAGCTTCCAGTACCTAAAGGGGGCCTACAGGAAAGCTACAGAGGGGCTTTTTACAAGAGCGTGTAGTGACAGGACAAGGGGGGATGGCTTTAAAGTGACAGAGAGTAGATTTAGATTATGTATTAGGAAGATATTCTTCCCTGTGAGAGTGGTGAGGCACAGGCACAGGTTGCCTGGAGAAGCTGTGGCTGCCCCATCCCTGGCAGTGTTCAAGGCCAGGTTGGATGCGGCTTGGAGCAACTTGGTCTAGTGGAAGGTGTCCCTGCCCATGGCAGGTGCTGGAACTAGGTGGCTTTTGAGGTCCCTTCCAATCCAAACCATCCTATGATTCTATACACGGCCTGAAGCAGGGGAGTGATGTTAGACCTGGCGGAGCTGCACAGGAGATCAGGAGCCAGCAGCAGCAGCAGCTTCCCTGTTTCAGAGCGTGCAGGAGGGTGCTTTCCTCTGTGATGTTTTAATGGTAGGCCTGGTAAGACCCATCAGTATGGAGAGCATAAAGGCACTAGGCCTAAGAGCTAAGGACCAGGGTAAGAGCTACTGAAATCCTCCAATGAAGAAAGAAGGTTATAAGGAATGAAAAATCATGCCAAAAACTCAAAGCAGACAAAAAAAACCAGATCTAGCCGAATCTGAGCAAGAAGCCTGTGTGTGGGTGTCAGGACCTGTCAAAAACAAAATAGGGAAGTGGATGTAAGAAGCAACAATCCAATCTATTCTGATTCACTTTTATTTATATACCACTGACAGAAAGCCCTCCAAATGCTTGCTGCTGCTTGGGTAAGAATCCAATTTAAAGCCTTTATCAAATTCACAGAAAGCAAGAAGTGATGGCAGACTGACACAGCCCCTTCCTGTGTTCCCCTCCCAGCCACCCTGAGGAAGAAGAGCCAGCAGTTTGGATAATCCACCATTAAAAGGCAAAAAGAGAGCTAACATGGAGAAAGGGGAAGCAGTGAACCTCAAGCCAGGCAGGCAGAGAGGTGATGGAGCAGCAGGTGTACAGCGAGCTGCACATGAGAAGTGATACGGTAGCACTAGATTGGAGAAAGCACCCTGGTAGTGGGTAAGAGGCTGTAAATCACAGCAACTTTTGTCATACATCAAATGTCTTTCCTGTGAAGGCAAGACCTATCTATCCAGGCACAAGTGGTTGCGAACAACAGTGCAGAAAGGGTCTGAAGGCAAATCAGCAGAGCAGCTGCTGAATACAGTGTTCAGTTCAACCACAGAAGCACTAGACTCTGGCTGGTTGCATGGCGGCACATGCTACTGGCTAGTGGAGACCAGGCAGAAAGAAATGGACACCATCTCTTCTATCTCCAGAACGAAGTTCACTGGATACATTTCATAACCTCTCACTGGCTCATTTTCAGTGGTCATGAGGACAGGATTCTTCTGCTTAAGCAGGGGCTGTGCTCAAGGGAGCCCACTGGCACCTCTGGCCACCAAGCTCGCCCTGCTACTGCTTTGTACTGGCAAGTCCCAGCCAACAATAACAAAATCACACAGAGTATGTTTCTCCCTTAACGAAAGGATCACTAATCCCCACTGTTGCCCAGGTACAGGAAGGTTGATACAGAGGCCAGGCAGGAAGACAAGATTTTCCATAGGGTGCAAAAAGCAGTGCCTTGTGGTGTGCCAGGTCATGCATGACAGCATAGCAGAGGCTTTGCAGTTAGGAAACGTGCTAACTACTGGTTTGGAAAATGCCCCCTGGCTTTCCTAGAGCATTTGTCCAAGTCAATTCCATCAGGAAACACAAGTTGGGAGGGGGATCTGAAGAGAGGTGCTGTGTATGCACGGTGGCAGTGCCACTTTCAGTCACCTGTTCTGCTGTGGCAAGATAGTGACCTGGATCCTCCCACCCCCCAGTCAGACCTGCTTTTGCTCTTGGCCCATTGAATAAATAAAGCCAGATGTTTCCACCAGTCTTCTTGTGGGCTGTGGAGAGGCTTTGCACGATCTGCTTTGGTCTTAGCTGCCTGCAGAATCCCCTCTCTGAACAACTGGCTGATCCAGAGCTGCTTGGGGCACATCGCATTTTCTGTGCTTTGCAAGCCACTCTCTGGCTAACTGTGTAGAGTGCTTAGTCTGCCTCTCTGGCTAACTGTGTAGAGTGCTTAGTCTGCCTGTTAGCTTTTCCATCACCACAATATTCATGTGCTTCCGCCCTGCCCATAATCCAGAACTCTTTTTCCCTGTAGGCTCATTGCAATTATTTATACATAAACTGGTCACTCATCTGTTGTGTTGCAGCCACAAATTCATGTGCAAAAGCCAACCCTTTTAGACAGACATTATGTTTGAACTCATTTTTGCTTTTTTGAAACTGCATTTTCCTACCACAGTGCTTTTTCTCAAGTAAAAAAAAGCAAACCAACAATCCCAACCTTCAAAACATTAAATTAATTTGCTCTTTCTCTTGCTGCAGTATCTTTTACTGAGCAAAGTCACCTTGGGCAAGTAATTAAAACCTCACTTGAAAAATGGAAACAATAATATTTTTCCATCTTTGATATCTTTAGGATGGAAAATGTTGCTCCTTATTATTTATTACAATGTTTTACACTAAAATTTAATAACATAAAACTCAGAACCTGAAGGGAAAATGTAAAAACGAAGGTGAGGAGCATACAAAGTGCTGCTGTGGTTGTGTGTTTTGAAGATGCTGGAAATACTTCGTAGTCTGTTGAATAGTGTTTGTCAAATATTCAGGCAGAGCTGGCCAAGTTGCTTTTCCACCCTCAGGACAGGGCCAGAAAACAGATCAGATTTTACTCCAGACAGCCCTCTTGTTTTGCAGTTTTTCACATCCAAGGAATGTTTTGCTATTCCAGTTGGACATAGGGTTCATCTCACCTAACATTTAGAAGTGTTTGGAACTCAGGTTTTGCTTCAGGTCTGATGCTGATGTTTTGCTTGTAGCATTGCCTTGGTAGAACAGGCAGGATCTTTGTCCTTGAATATCTGCCCCTTGTTCAGTGTGTGGTGACAAATGAGCACCTCCTCTGAGTGCATGCTAGCCATCAGTATATGCTCACAGGATGTTGAATGCAGACATAACTAAACCATGTTCTGCCATTTGGGAGACAAAAGCAATATGCTATGTACTGTATGCAGCATAAGCACAGTACCTGAGTGATGGCTGCAAGACTGAGAGGCTGCTGCTCCTTACCTCATATAAATTATCCTAAAGGATCCCTTCCTTCTCCTTTGACTTCATCAAGTTGGACAGGGCTTTAAGCAACTTGGTCTACTGGAGGGTGTCCCCTTCCCATAGCAGGGGGGTGGAACTAGATGGTCTTTCAAATCCCTTCCAACCCAAACCATTCTGTGATGCTGTGATTCTGTAATCTGTCCCTTTTTGCCTTCTCTGCCACTCTTGTCAAATTCCCCTCCTCAACCCCTTCTGGTTCTACCTTTCCATCCCTATCATCCAAGCCTCCTCCTCATCCTGGAATCACGGCTTTAAACATCACTCGCCAGCATCACGTAACTTACTCTTCATGAGTGCCAGAGCCTTTCTGACATCCTGCGCCTGCAACGCGTGTCAGGCTGTAAGTTCTCCAGGGCACAGCGTGCTACAATGTTTCATGCAGGGCTTGGGCTGCGGCTGCTCCTCAGGCAGTGCTGGAAAAACCCCCATGATTAAGAATAACGATGCAACTTCTTTAGTGCGCACACGAGTATCAAATAACCTGTATATTACTATAACAGGTTAAAATGGTACCTTTTTTTACAGCTGCACCAGACACGTCTCGTATTGATGCCCCTTGCAGCGGTCTGTAAGGAAAGGCTGGACTGCAAAGGTCTCCAACCTAAGTGTTGCTCGGAAGATTTTTAGCTACAAATCTCAAAATGTCATTCCTAGCATTGCATCCACACAAATTTGCGTACTCTCAGTAAGTGCCTTTGTTGACTTCGAGAAAAAAAGAAAACAAAGCACGTTTATGAAATAATGGTAATCTGAGGAGAAAAAAGGTCGCAAAGAAATAGACAAGAGAGTAGAAACTCCCTGGCATGGAGCACAGATGAGGACAGTGATTCCCACACATTCTTTTACGCTGCGTCTCCTTTCCACATCTCCACAGCACCCCCAGCACTGTGAGTCCTGAGCAGGGCTGACCTCACTGACATGTGAGATCTGAGGAGAGCACAGCACATAGCAGTATGGCTGCAGGCTAATGCTTTTATTTTTGTAACCATGTATTCCTAGGAGCGTGGTAACAAGAGTTAGGGATCAAATCCATGCTTCTTGCATAACTGAACAGAGTATTCCTGCTAGGCTACCTGGCAAGAGATCAAACATCCTATACCAGGCCTTTAAAAAAAAAATAGAGAAATATGAAGAACAGCTATGGTCATAAGAGAAAAGCAACAAGTATTCTTAACCACTTAACCATGCTACTAACAGGCACAGATTACTTAATTTTAAAGTCAACACATACAAAACTCACAGAATCTGCAGCACTCTCAGACACCCTGCTATTTGCCATGCAGTCCCAGTTACCATTGCATATCCAACCCAAAAGCCAGCTATCTAAACCTTTTCCACCTTGCTTCAGACATGAACCTCATTGCTGGCCATTCTTCTATTGCTGTGATGAAGTTTGTTGGAGTTGTCACAAACTGACTAATCCCCCTTGGTCACATGAAGAGGACATTGAGGATCCAAGGATCCTTCATCCAGGGATGAATACAACTACTGGCTACTGTGTTATTAAGTCGTGACCATCATTCTTTTGGTTCTGACCACCTTAAATCATAGAACAGTTTGGGTTGGAAGGGACCTTAAAGCTCATCCAGTTCCAACCCCCTGCCATGGGCAGGGACACCTTCCACTAGACCAGGTTGCTCCAATCCCCATCCAATCTGGCCTTGAACACTGCCAGGGATGGGGCAGCCACAGCTTCTCTGGGCAACCTGTGCCAGTGCCTCACCACACTCACAGTAACGAACTTCCTTTCATCTAACCTAAAACTTCCCTGTTTAAGTTTTAATTCATTACCCATTAAGTTCCTTTAGAGCAATGTGGGTGCTAAGTATTAGACCTTGTTTCCAGGTTTTTTTTTTTTTCCATTCTGAAATAAATAAATGTCAGCATTCTGATGAAAATCCACTCCATTCTCTGCATGGCTTTGGACATGCCTTTTTTTCCCTAATCTTCTGGACTTTTAATTACTAATAGAAAAACAAAACAAAACAAAAAAAAAAAAAAAAGGAATTTTCAAGAATATTACTTCCTTTTTTTTTTTTTTTAAATAGCTCTTTTAAAAATCCGTATTTTTCAAATAACGTCTATTTAATCCAGGAACTCTTAATAGTATTTTATCTGTTTCCTACATTAGCTTCAGTATGTTTAAATGTACCTTTTACATTAAAGATTAGAGTGAAATATAACTGAAGAGAGAAAGATGTTCTATTAAAAGCCTACTGAAAATATTAATGTGTATTAAGAACCTACTGACAAATGCTTGCCTGAATAGTGACAGCAGGACACTCAATACATTTTAGGACAGACTGTTTCCAAACAGAATAATGAGGGTGAAAGAAAAAAACAAACCACCACCACCACCCCCCCCCCAACCAAAAATTGAAGTTTTCATGAAATAATTCATTTTTATTATTGTCATCATCAATTAGGACTCAGTCCTGCACCATTTAATTGTACTTTTGACACTGCCATCTACAAACATATTTCAGAAAATGATGCAATATTTGGTAAAGAAAAATGTGCACTGAAAAAATTCCTTTAATAAAAGCTTATTCCTGCAGAGTTAGTTTCAAGCTTGAAACAATTTTTCATTTTTTCAAATATAAAACCTAAATAACAGAAATCAATATTCCCCAAGACTTACCCCTGTGAGAAGAAGTCTATCATCTGAACTCTTTGCTGTTAATGGCAGGCTCCTCTTTTAGGATTTAAGGGGGTGTTCTAATGGCTGGGTTGTGTGGCTAATGGGTTATTTGATTCAGTTGTTGAACCAAAAAATGAAACCCTGCTTCTTTCCAAAGTCAACCTGAAATCACAGTTTTTATTGTATTTGGTAAATAATTTAAACTCCATAGTTTTAGGGTAAAAAATAAACTATTTGCTTGGTTGGGACCAAATTTAGTTCTGCCATTCTTTTTCCAGGTATATACAATAAACCCAAAGAACTGGATTCATAAAAGAGCTGAGGTATCACCTTCAGAGATGTTTTTCCAATTTCTACTCAACTGCAAATCTAGCAAAAACTTGAAATTCTTATGTGAAATATTTTCTTCCTGAATGAGCAGTGAAATACATGTTAAACATTTCCAGTGATGTTATTACTCTTGCATTTCAATCTTTCAAATGCTTTCTATTGCTGTTAAGTATTCACATGAAGTTATTTCATTTCAAAGCTTACCATATCAGGCTATTAGAATGCCTCTGTGCTGCAGGCCAAATTTCCTGGTGGTCCTTAAAATTATGCCATATTAACAACCTTGTAATAACTGTATACCAAGGTGCCATGTTGATTTCACAAGATTTTTCTCTAGAAACATGAATTTATTTTGCATCTGTATTGCAACATCAGGTCCCTACTTATTTCTATTTCTAAGACCTACAGATATAATCTTTATTTTCATCTACAAAGCAGTAGGATATATCTCCCACTTCAGCTTTTAATTCCCCCCTCCATTTTAGAGAGATGCGAACAGGCAAAAATAATACCACGTGCAACACAACATCCATTTTAACAGTATCTTTGTCATTGTTTGACAATGAAACCACTGCATTCATTTAATAAATATTTCTAATAGTACTTCTATGTGCTAGCTAAACTGCATTGCTCAGTCTTTTAAAAACGGTAAAGTTAAGCATCAATAAATAACTACTCCAGGTTTTCTTTCCCCCCCCCCTGTTCTTGGGAGAAGACAAAGGGCTTAGGAAAAAAACACCCTCAAGACTTACAAGTCTGGGGAGTTTCATATGAACTGGAGAGCATGGAAGGGGAATGCACCTTATGATCCAATGGTAAAGCCTCTTTCCTGAGAAACAGGTTACATTTGTGCACCCCTGTGGCATGTGACATCATTCAGTCATGGTCTATGTGAGCATCCTGACCCCAGGAGCTGTTGGAACAGGATGGCAGCTGGATGATGGTGTAGGACTTCCCTCTGTCCCTGCTACCTTATGACCACATACAGGACATCCAAAAAATTGGTTTAAAAATACATGGAAAAGAAGCATTTTGGCACTCCTATGAAGTTGTCCTCATTGTTTTAGATGTCCGAAATATTCAGCGAGTACATCTCAAATTCACAAATAATTTTGCATTGACTGAATATTTATATTAGAAAATAAACAGTTTATGACCAACAATTCACTACATCAATTTCAACATGGCCACAGGTGAGCACATCCACTAACATAAGCCAGGAACCAAGAATTTTGATCAGGAAGACAGGACCACAGCCAAGCTCCTAACCTCTCAGCTCAGGCTGAGCTTCAATAACAATGAAAGACATGTTCTCAGATCTATATGAATCATCAATATGTCCTTGAATTTCCCATTGAATGCAGGGTATCAGGGTTGAGCCCAGAAATCCTCTAAGTTTGTTTGAGGGAGCCTCTCTATTTTTGTCTAAGTATTTTGCTGCTGGGCAAAGGTGCTGAGCTGGATTGCTAAAAACAAGCTGCATCTCCTCTGAAGGGTGAGACAGCACAGATCTCCTCTGTCTGCAAAGCCTTGGAGTACTCCTGCCTTTACAGAGGGCAGCTGTGGATATGCCTGTGTAAGGTGCAGGGGACTTACAGACTTGACCTTTCTTTCCAGCATGCAGGGAAGTAGCCTAAGCACAGAGATGGCCAGGGCAGGTAAGTCAAACAGCATTAGGAGCAAGAAGCTAGCTTGTAAGGAAAAAGAGTCAAAAGAACTCCGGACCATCACAAAACAACTGCTGTGGGTGGGAAGGAATATCTGAAAGAATCCAAATACATCAACATAAAGGAAGAGGAGGATTATTTTTTTTTTTTTTGGGGGGGGGTTATCTCAAAATGCATAAGTACAACTTATCAGAAAACAAATGAAAATATAAACCAGCTACAGGAACATTCCTTAAAATTGAAACTGGCCTGGCATTGATGGCACTAGCTTCAGTGGGGAGTAGGGCAGCACTTACCTCTTATTATGCTTACTCGAATTTACAGTTATTGAGAGCTCCTGGTTTTATTTTGGGCCTATAGTCACGCACATGGTGGCACAATACTCCACTATGTCTCTGTTACTATAAAGTACTTCATATTCTCCAGAGGGACCCTGACATGCTTGTGAGATGGGCTGATGCCAACATTATGAAGTTTAACCATGCCAAGTGCAAGGTCCTACACCTGGGTCAGAGCAACCCCAGGCACAGCTACAGGTTGGGCAGAGAAGAGATTCAGAGCAGCCCTGCGGAGAAGGACTTGGGGGTGTTGGTTGATGAGAAAATGAACATGAGGCAGCTTCAGTGTGCGCTCGCAGCCCCAAAAGCCAACTGTATCCTAGGCTGCATCAAAAGGAGCATGACCAGCAGGTCGAAGGAGCTGATCCTGCCCCTCTGCTCTCCTCTTGTGAGACCTCACTTGGAGTACTGTGTGCAGTTCTGGTGTCCTCAACATAAAAAGGACATGAAACTGTTGGAACAAGTCCAGAGGAGGGCCACGAGGATGATCAGGGGACTGGAGCACCTCCTGTATGAAGATAGGCTGAGGAAGTTGGGGCTGTTCAGCCTGGAGAAGAGAAGGCTGCGTGGAGACCTCCTAGCAGCCTTCCAATATCTGAAGGGGGGTTATAAGGATGCCAGAGAGGGACTCTACATCAGGGACTGTAGTGACAGGACAAGGGGTAACAGGTTAAAACTTAAACAGGGGAAGTTTAGTTTGGATATAAGAAGAAGTTC